TCTGAAACCCTGTCTTTAGCTCCACCTTGTCGGGTGCAGCTAATGTTCACAGCCTAGACTTCATCTTTGTTAGTTACTGCTACTCCTCTACTACCTTTGGATCTTGAATTTCCCCCAAAGGTCCACGTATGAAAGGTTTAGTTCACAAGGTGGCACCCTTGAGAGGTAGTGGAGTCCTTAGGAGGTGTGGCCTAGATCTTTAGTCACTGGAAGTGTGTCCTTGAAGGGGGCTGTAGAACCATGGCCCCCCTCCTCACTGGTTTTTTTTTTTTTCCTTCCTGGCCATGAAATAAAGGTCTTACTCCGCCATGCACTCTTGCTGCCTCATCACAGGCCCAAAGCAACAGAGCCCACTGATTATGAGCTAGAACCTCCAAGACTGAGCCAAACATTTTCTCTCTTCTAACAGGTTGATTATCTCAGGTATCTGTTATCGTGATAGAAAGGTGACTTATACATCATCTTTCAATTAGAAGCATCCAAGACTTCAGCAATCACCTTTTACTTTTTCCCCAGTTCACTCTCCAATGTTCTAACTTTGAAAGTATCAAACCCTACCAGGATCTATAGCCACTGGTCCTATGGCCTCATTTTCCTCATGTCCATATACTCTGCCTTCTTGCAAACATCCACTAACTCTCTCATATTTGTCATGCTTTGCTGAAATGACTTAAAGAAAACCCAAGTGGTTACATCAAACTCTTTCTTTGCCTACTCCACACCTGTTCCTCCAAGCTTGACTTGGATGGACAAGCACCCAGCCATCATGACCACTAACTTCAAGTAGGCATTGATGCTGACAGGCAATTGTGTTAATGTCCCCAGTATACTGATGCTTCCACTCTTTAAGATGACTGCCTGATCCCCTCCTCCTAGTTCTCTTAAGCTCTCTTCTCTTTCCTCAGTCTTTGCTCCCTATTTCATCAGCAAATTAGCAGTAATCAACAAAAATTTTTCATCAAGCTTCCATGATCAAATTTTCTGAGCTAATTCCATCTGTGCTCCAATAATCTGGCTAGTCTACAGCTATGGCCAGTCCCTCTACCCATGGACCAGATTCCTTATTGACATATCAAGAACATCATTCCAAAAATCCTTCCATTTCATTCATGCATTAATAAGCTTTCTCTCCCTAATAGACTGTTCCCACCTTACAATAGAAATTTTTGCCATCCTAAAATTAAATGAACTCCCTTGGCCTTAATCTTCCTACCCTCTTTCTGTTTTGTTGTTGTTGTTGTAATAATCTATTAGATTCCCTTTTCTCTTAACCAGACCTGGTACCGGGAGCTTTAGGGGTGGGGGGCTGTCCTGAGATATCCTACATGCAACCATGTTGCAGAACATTTCTCTGTCCTTTGCCATGTGGCTGCCCAACCCCCACCCTCCATTTTAACCATACTGCCTATTTCTTCAGTTTCTATTTCTAAGGCTGAACTCTACGAGATGATCTGGGTCTTGGGTATTTAGTTCCCAGCTTAATTTTGACCAATCACCTTCCCTAGAATCTAATGCACCAGGTCTATTTTCATCCATGTCCCCAAATGATGGTCACTACTCATATGGTGTGAGGGCATCTGGCATTGACCTGACCAAGTAAGTGTTTTGAAAACTATAATATGATGAGTTGTATTTCATTGAAAGAAGGCATAGATAATGTTAGAGATGGTAACAATGATAGCAAGTAAAAGAAAACAGCATGGGGAAATATCCATGATAAAACATAAATGAAACAGATTACAAAACAGATTCTTATTGTCTTTTTTAATAATTATTTTTTATTTTTGGTACTACTGGGCCTGAATTCTCCACCTTGCACTTATTAGGCAGGTGTTCTACCACTTGAGCCATGCCTCCAACCCAAAACAAAAACAAACTGAGCCAGAAATGAGCTGGTTTCCCACCATAGCAAGGTTACCAAGTTACTCTCTGTGATGCCAGTATTTAATCACATCCCTTTCACCTTGACCCCTTCCCATACATCCACCTTACCTCAGAGCAGGTCTGTGTCATAGTTTCTAGTTTCAACACGTTCCCAGCTCTTTATGAGCTCTGATGTAGCAAGAACACAAGAGTGTATGTCACATCTTTTTGCCCTCTTAACATTCTAGCATTGTTTGGCTAAACTCACTTGCTGTAGTCTGCATAAGAGAGTGAGGGGAGAAGCAACACAAGTGTGCAGGTGGCAGAAAATCCACAAACTCTGAAGTGAAGTGGAGAAGAGGTTAGTGGGGCTGGTGCCCAAGAACAAGGTGGGGTGCTGTCTTTAGGCCACACAGGGTGTTCATGAGAGAATTTATCCACCCCAGGTTCATGCAGACTTAACAGTGCTGATTCTGCCTGACGAGTCACAGTTCAGACCCCTGAGCAAGGAGAAAAACTTCAGCTTACTCTGATTCCAGTGACCCAGATTATTCAACTTGCACTGTTCTCCCAGACCTTGTTTCAAGTGAAAGAAAAACAAATTCTGAATTAAACAAACTAGTAATGATAAGCATTTTATTCTCCCTTTTAGCCAAACTATACAAATACACTCTTATACAAAAAATGAGGCTCTTGATCTTTCTAAAATCTGAACTATTTGAGGATAAGGCCTGAATAAACATGGTCTATGACTTGCTTTCAACTTAGCAAACTGCAGCTGGGCCTTCCAAAATGCCAGATGGAGAAAAATATAATACTGAGTTTTCAGCTTCTTTGATTCTTCTCAGTATTCTTTGCTTTCAATTTTGCTTTGCTTTTGGGTTCTCTCAGCTCCCAGGTTCATACTGCCAGTCATGCATCTTATTTAAAAATAGGGCTTAGATCAACTTACCTGATTTTGTCCTGGCATTTACCCACCTGCCTGCCTATATGATTGGAGCAACCATTTGCACTGATGCTGTAACCTTCTTCCTACCAAAAGGGCTACTCTTAAATGCAATGCTTCATTCCCTGGAGTGCCTGTTCTCAAGTGGCCTCCTCCAAACCTCCAAACCTCCTGTTTGTTTACCATGGAGACAGCAGATTGGGTAATATGTTTTCTGTGAGACCAAGAATACATTGGCTAGTGATGCCAAGGAGAAAATACAAGCAGCTATTTAAGTGCTACACAATGAAGTGGCATGCAATGAACATCAGAGGTATGAAAATCTATTAAAGCACAGGAAAATCAGTCATTTGTTACTAAACATGGTATGAACGCACAATTAGAGAAAGACGGACATAGACATCTGCTACCAACCACACATTCAGGGCAATCTTGATCAATAGTCCCACCACTGTAGTCTAGTAAAATGACTTTTGATGATTAAGGCATGACAGTGAAAAATGGAAAAGTGGGGATTCAGTTTAAGACTCTCCTTCCAGTTAGGATGTCCTCATAGACTGATCACATAGGGTGATCCCTGTTCAAACTTTGAGAATGAAAATGTGGAAGTCAAGAAGCTAATGCTAAAGGTGGAGGAAGTCCACCACTGTATCTGCACTGTCTGTGGCAGACACTGCTGAGACATGCCAAGCTCCAGAATGACAGAACAACAGAACAGGCTCCAGAAAAATGCTTTTACTTCACACAGAGTATTTTTCAGATTAGTTATGTTGCTTAAAAAGCATCAAAAAAAAACAGTTAAAAAAAAAAAAACAGGGGCAGGTGGTTGATAGTGTGGCTATAAATTTAATCCTGAGTATCACAAAAAAAAAAAAAAACAGGAGGAATTTCTTGAGTTTGTACCAATATCATATTCCAGTGTGAAACATCTGTCAATTCTGCTTTTAGAATCTAGCTGTAAAAGTAAGAAAAACCACAAAACTGCTCTGTTACTTTGTCAGAGGAATCCTGGTGAACATTCACAATTTTCCTTCACTGAAAATCTCATTTAATATAATAGGGAAGTCATTGAACACTATGTCTTTCCATTATAGCCAAAGTGATTTTCGCAGTAGCAATCTGAGTACACCACAGGAGCCCTGCACTGAAATAAAATGGCATTGTAGATAGTTTTAAATGCGATCTTTTTCAGTCCAGAGCACTGTCTGGTTTCCTTATTCTTGGGTAAATGGGCAATCCATAGGGTGAGTGAGAAGAACAAAAGCACATAACAGTACTTTTTTTTTTGTCTTTATCAATAATACAATCATGCTCTGCCAATTACTGAACTGGCGATCGTATCTGACACTTTGAAAACAAACCAAAAAAGGTTTTTGCATTGCTAAAGCAATCAGCAGACAAGCCATTTTCAGCAAGGACAAAACTCAGTAAACCCAGGTGTATCTGGCATGCTTTTCCTACACATCTAGTGCAAAAATAAGGCATGTGAGTCTGAGCAGTACCTCTCCCCATCGTCCGTCTCCAAACGGTCCCAATATAAAAAGCATTTAGTAAGGACCTTTTTCAAAGCATCCCATGTGTCTAACTTCCTTTAAATAAAGCATTAATAAAATCACAGTCACATCTAAGAAGATTCACAATTCCTTAAGGGTAGAAACCATGGCTAATCTTTAATGAGTCTAATTGAATGGAAACATTCTTGTCCCATCTTAGTAGAGACAACCAACAGAATATTCCTAGTCCTACAAGGGTGTATTACTGAAGTTCTAGAAGGAAATGAGATTCAGGCTGTGTCCATTACAAAGGACCAACAGTGGTTAACACACTCTGTGTGCTCAGTAAAGACTTATTTCCAAAGTAACTAAGAGCAGAAACTAACAACAACTGTATTGATGCAGGAATTTTGGAAACACATCGCTATTTTGCTTCAGGAAGAGCTCCCATTTGCAATTATAATAGCAGTGTGAAGATCGAACCTATGGAGCACAATGTTGAGAAGCTGGAGTCCAGCATCCTGCTCCCCAGAGAACACCAGAACTCCAAGCACAGACACTGCCACAGGATCTCCTGACAGACCTGGAACCACTGAAGAACAGAATTCATTAAATACACACACACGCACACATTCCTCTACTTTGTGAACAATCTCTGGTAAACTAATACAAATATAAGATAAAGTAGTAATACTCACAAACTCTGGAGTTTGGAAATCTTGCTGATTTTCCAGTGATCCAAAATTGGGGATAATCATCTGTTCGAAGTTTTCCAACACTAAAATAAATGGATAAATAAATTAATAAAGCAGGAGTTTTCATTGGCTATATACAGCAATGGAAGCAACTATATTTAGCATTTGTGGCACACTTACAGATTTGTATTATTTAATACTTTCAGCTCTCTGACATACTATCTTCAGCAACTGTTTCATCCTGAGACAATGCCATGCAAGGAGGAAATTAGGCCCTAGAATTCCCCCAGCCTAGGTCCAGTATAAAAAACTACTTGGTCTCCACACAGCAACTAATCATTAGAAAAGGCTATAAGGAACGCTTATAGCCTATAATGTTCTTTTCTCTACTATATCTCAGGATACTGATGGGGGGTTATTTAGGGACAGCAGTTTTCTATTCTATAATATGTTTGAAACACAGGATCTGCAAAAATCTAATGGAAAGCCACACAAAATTTTCTAACAGATATATTTTTAAAACTTAAAAATAGTTTAAATTAATTTTATGTAATTTATTTAGCTCATAATGTCCCAATTACCATTCAAATACATATGTAATCAATATTAAAAAATTATTCATGAACTGTTTTACTTTTCTTGGACTAAGTTTTAGAAAATCAGTATGTATTTTATACCCACAGCACATCTCAATGCAGACTAGCCATAATTCAAAAGTTCAGTAGTCACATGTGACTAGTGACTACTGTAGCGGACAAGTGCAGTGTTAAAAGGCGTGGGGAACCATACCCAGAAGGTGGGTGATTTGGCAAGACACTAGCCCTATGTTGTCGACAAGGTTCTAGCATGAATAACAGGGATGGTTCCAAATTAAAGGATACTAAGAAAACAATCATATGCACTGTATGGTTCTGGGTTGGACACTCTTAAAGAAACCAGATGTAAGGAACTTTAAAAAATTACTGTATGAGGCTCAAATGTAAAGAACTTAAAAAAATATATTGTATGAGGCTTAATACCAGTACCATTAAAAAAAGAAAAAAGTGAATTAGAAGATTAGGATTAGGTGAGTGGTAGAGCACTTGCTTAAATGTGTAAGGTTGTGGGTTTGGCCCCCAGCACCACAAAGAAAAAAAGAGGAAAAATTTTGAAAATTGATTGTTAGATTATTATTAAGGAATATTATGTGTAATAACATAACTTTGGCTATGTAGGAATTCTTTGGTGGTGCTACTGGGGTTTTGAACTTAAGGCCTATGCTTACTAGGCAGATGCTCTACCACTTGAGCCATACCCCAGACCTAGGAAAATGTTACTAACCAAATAAAGAAATATTAAATGCTTAGGTAAGCTTAAAGAACACTTAATGTTTAAACAATTTTTAGATATATATTCTTATTTACCAAGAGTCTAAATGTCTTCAATAAGGCAATGACTTGGAAAAGAGACATGATTAATGATTTAAAGAGACATACAACTACCAACAGTATGTGATTCTCAACTGGTCCTAACTTGGACACCAGCAGTAAAGAGTTTGTTTTTCAAAACTGAGGAGTCTGAGTATGGAATAAGTAAAAAATTGTAAGAAACTGCTTTTACTTGTAGTAAGTATAGTGCTATTTTAGCACTACACTTTTGATGCAGACTAATTTTTTTTAAATCCATTAAAAGCTTTTGTGAAAGGGAAAGCTGGGTTCCTATCAATCCAGAAAAGTTCATCCTGTCAGTGGCCCGAAAGAAGAAAGCCCAGTATGTGTAGGAGAGATTCACAAAAGCTCTCTAACTGACTGTTTACAGTATTAGCCAGCCACTGTGACAACTCAGTTACCAAATGCTTAGGAACGGTAACTCAGTACGAAATCTTGCAGTGTCTGGATTGGGTTTTAGGTTCATACCGAATCTGGGGAAGAAAATACCTTTTTGCATCCATTAACTCATGTTTTGTAACCCCTATAACATAAAAAGAAAGGCCAGTAGAAATGACAGCACAGACAAGTGACCAACTCTTCTGAAAACCAAAGTAGATTAGGGCCCCCCCACATGGGAACCAGGGCAGAAGTGAGACTTCAAGAACGGCAACCAAAGGCAAAATTAACTGCTTGCTTCTGAGAACTCCAGGAGGTTAGTTTCCTCACAGTCAGCTACGCTTGGAGCGTTGTAACATAATGAGCTGGTTATTCCACCAGCACAACAACAGTCACCCAAGATAATTATATGCTGGCAGACCACCTTTAAAACTTGCTAAAATGTGCTTGCATAGGCACCAGGCTATGACAAGTGTGCTGCCAAGCTGGTGTTGTACAGCTTGGCTAAACATCTGGAAGATAAGACCTAACCTTTTATAATATTAAGAGAGATAGTGAAGAAAGTATATGAGGTACCTACGATACACTGTTTTAGGTCAGAACCAGCAAGCCAACAAAACATATTTGCATGTGTTTCTTGCATGACAATTATAAATTGCATGGAATGACTTCACTGTGATGAGATGTCCAGTTTACCTACAATGTATCTAAGGTCAACAGATGGACAGAGCTGCTACACTTGAATTTTTCTTTTCTTTTTCTTGAAAGATTCAAGAAAAGATGCATTTTGCCTAAAGATAAAGGAGGAACAAGATGTATTACCCAGATGTTCTATTAAATTAAAGCTATCTATGCAGCATCAAAGGATTTGTGAGAGAAAATATGAAACTATTTATAGTTTTAGTTATTCTTCTGGTAATAGAAACTAACAGCTTCCCTGCTTAATGTCAACACAGAGGAGAAACTAAATTTAAGTGAATAAAAACAGAAATGGCTTTATTGAAACATCATCTAGGTAGAACAAAGCAACAGCTGTTCCTCTCATGCCCTAATATAACACTGGGAAGCAAATGATTTATGATGCTAATACGATAATTATGCTTCCATCGTGGAGGGACTCTAATAACTGTTTGATATTCTCATTTCTGGTAATCTAACACAACGAAAAAAAAACTCATTTCTCAGCAAAAAATAGTCAAAATTAAGGTGACACTGAGGACTTTTCATTAAGGAGTGGGGAGTGGGGGGATTTGGAAAAGGTAATTGTGTTTATTTTCTTTCTTTATAAAATTCTTTACATTATATTTTGAAATGTATTCTTAGTACTGTCACTATGCCTTGTATTATACAACAGAATTACTACCTTGTACTATGTCATCGTTAGTACATTTAATTTCAGCACTTGGAACATAAAAAGTATTTGTGACTTCTATGTTATCTGTTCATCAAAAGGCTGACTAAATAACCGAAAACTGTTCTAAGAGGATTAAAAAGACACTTAGGTCTTCACATGTTGATGGAATTTTGTATGGATGCACAATGATAGAGGAATTTAAAGTCAGGTCCGACAAAAATATTCATTACCTACTGTACATTTTGCACAGGCATTTTGTTTTATAGTCCCTAGGGATCCTTAAATTCAAAAGGGAATTTAAGACATGATTAATACTAATTTCAGTATCATTTGCAAGTGTCAGACCAAACAGATTGACAGAGTTTGTAAGAATACTATTAACTGGATTACTACAGGTTAAAAACCAAATAATTGAAGATTTAGGTCAAAAGAAACCACTAAAAACTACTTTTCCTAAATTTAATAGTAAGTCAATCACCTAATAATTAGTTAAAAATGAAAAGAATAAGGGCTGGAGATGTAGTTTAGTAGTAGAGTTCTTGCCTAGCAGGCACAAGGCCTTGGGTTCTATCCCCAGGACCACCAAAAAAAAAAAAAAAAAAAAAAGACAGAAACAAAAGAAAGTATTTCTCACTCTGGGTACGTGTTTATTTTATTTTATTTATTTATTTATTTATTTTGATTTTTCAGCCAGCGTCTCACCATGTAGCCTAGTCAGTTCTGGAACTCACGATCCTCCTGCCTCAGCTCCCAAGTGCTGATGTTACAGACATGAGCTACCATGCCCTGCAGGTGGTATAAAATCCTTATCAATGCAGTTGGTAAAATAAGATTGCAGCAGGAGTAGTTCTGACTTACTTATCTGGCACTCTAAAAATCAAGGACACAATAGAACTCTCCAGAAGCTTGGTCATAATAATGGGCTGAACACACGACACTGGAACCAGAAAGCTATGGTTCACATGATTACTTGTGTACCAGTTGGAAACAGAGTAACTAAAATTGATTATCCCACTGCGAAATAAAAAGATAATCTATACCACAAAGTTGAGACTATAATATAAGCCAGCCAATAAAAAGAGCCATTATCTTTACATAATTTTATAACTTAGACAATCTTTTACTCAACAGAAAACATAAAACAATCTCTCAGGAAATTCATGGATTAAAACCAATGTGCCTGATAAGGAAAAAAGGTAGCCAGACTCAGGCACCGACACTTCATCTAACTTACAGTGCACCATAGCAGGTAGTTGAATCCAGCTGACTTATTATGGTAGTCAGTTGCCACTGAAATACTCAAAACCACAGTGAATATATGAGCTAGAGCAGGGCCTAAGATGGGTGTGTAGCTCACTGGTAGAGCACTTGCCTAGAATGCACAAGGACTGAGGTTCAATCCCACAAAAAAACATTAAACTATACAGCCACCCCACACACACCAGGGCCTGGTGCAAAGGGCACTGGGTACAGACTAGGAGCATGGACTGGGATCAAGTCCTGACTCTGTAATTCTTTAGCTCCATGATTCTGGGTCATGCTTCTCATCACTATTTATCTGCAGCTGGTGATAACTTTACTTTCCCTGGTGACGTCACAGGGTTGTGCAGAGATACAAATGACAATTCAAAAGCGTGTCGTAAAAAAATAAAGCACTATATAAATACAAGTTAAGTCCATGTACTAAGAATTAATAATGTGAAGAAATGAAAATTTATTAAGCATATTAATTTGTGTCTGGCATTTTTGAATATTTGAGGTTACTTAATCCTATTTTTGTCCCTGTTTCCACAGAGGATGAATAATAATTTAAGGTTGTTAGTCACCTAGAGTCAACCACTAGAAGTTACACAATGGGAATCTGAACATGTTTAATTCCAAAATTGAATGTCTTTTTGAAAATATTAATTTTGCCTTCTGAGTT